CCCCCGCCTTTAGTCTTTATTAAGGGATTCTGCAAGAAACAAGTCCTTGAACTTCTCAGTCCATTTGTTGAAATAAAAAGATTTTAGGCTATTTCTTATTGTTTTTTTTTAAAGATTTTATTTATTTATTTGAGAGAGAGAATGAGATAGAGACAGAGAGAGCATGAGAGGGGGGAGCGTCAGAGGGAGAAGCAGACTCCCCGCCGAGCAGGGAGCCCGGTGCGGGACTCAATCCAGGGACTCCAGGATCATGACCTGAGCCAAAGGCAGTCGCTTAACCGACTGAGCCACTCAGGCGCCCTATTTCTTATTGTTTTACAGTGTTCACAAAGATATAAAAAAATAAATTTCCTATCTTGTTATCAGGAACACTTATACTTCTTTTTGAATGATTAGTTTCTCTTAATGTAAAAGTCTCAATTGCATTGATAATCATTGTGTGGTTTTAGAAAGCTTAAAGTCCTATTGTAGTCAGCGTTTAGTAAGTGTGCAGAACTCTGATATGTATTTCATATGTTAGATTCATTCCTGGCTCCACTGTATGTTCAAATTTTTGCTTTTACTGAGTCTTTTTTATTTGCTTCTAATTAAGGTCATTAATATTGTACATTATATTTTTTTAACTCCTTTAAATCATTTTGGGAATAATGTAGATCGTTAATAAGTAGTCTTTTTACAAGTTTAGAATATGTAGCAAAACTTTGCTAGTTGAACAAGGATCTACTTTTTTTTTTTTTTTAAGATTTATTTATTTGACAGCGAGAGAGGGAACACAGCAGGGGGAGCAGGAGAGGGAGAAGCAGGCTTCCCGCTGAGCAGGAAGCCCAATGCGGGGCTCGATCCCAGGACCCTGGGACCATGACTTGAGCTGAAGGCAGATGTGTAATGACTGAGCCACCCAGGCGCCCCTACTTTTTTTTTTCTTTACGATAATTTCTCACAAAATAGCTTAAAAACTTTAAATAGCAATGCAACTTGGACTATTACTTAAAATCTTTTATCATGTACATTTAAATAATACTTATAATGTGCTTTTAAAATACCTTTTTTTGGATTTTAAAATGTATGTATAGTCACTGTAGAAAATTGGAAAAATGAAGAGATGTATCAAAAGGAAAGTAAAAAAAAAAAAAAAAAGTAAAAATCACCTTTTCCTACCACTAAGTGAAAACTGCTATTAGTATTTCCATCCAGTCTCTCTTCTGTATGCATGTATAGAAACAAAACTTGGGCATCGTTATGTGTATATAATTTTACATCCTTTTTTCCTAACACAGTGTATGAATTTTCCACAGAATTTCTTTATATATGAATTGCTTTTTTTTTTTTTTTTTTTTTTTAAGAGGGGGAAGCAGAGGGGCAAAGGGAGAGGGAGAGAGAGAATCTTAAGCAGATGCTCCACTGGGTGTGGAGCCTGACAAGGGACTTACTCCCAGGACCCTGAAATCATGACCTGAGCTGAAATCAAGAGTCAGACGCTTAAAGCCAACTGAGCCACCCAAGTGCCCCTTCATACATGAATTTCTTCAAAAACATGGTTTTTAATGATTGTACTCTATTCTGTTGTATGGAGGTACCTTACCTTACCTATTGCTCCCCTATCTGGGTCACAGATTATGTTTCACAGTCAACATTTACACTAGAGGGGTATCTTTATATATAAATATTTAGCATATGATATTAAACATCTGTGATTATTTCCTTAGGGCTGATTTGTAGCACTAAGATTCTGGAATTAAATAAATAAATAAAATCTTAAAAAAAAAAAAAA